TGTGTATGGTTGGGAACGTATAGTAACTGTGTAACTACCCACCACTCCTTATCCTTTTCTATCTGCTTCTGCTGCTAGCTGTATCCTCATAAGCTACAGCTTGGAATTTTCCGTTTCACACACACTCACTCGTTCGCACTGCACTATCTTTCGACTCGCAGACATTGTGAATTGCTGTTAGGTTTAACCCGTATCTCTTGGTTCTAGACTCCTCGATTGAATCGGCTGGGTCGCGCCGATTTTCGCGTCCTTACCACGCGTTTTCGTTCCCTTTTGTTTATTCGCGCTCTTAGGTCTGAAAACCGACGACATTCAGCAGTCTCATTGCTCCATTTTACCTTTCCCTTTTTATGTTACCGGTTGACATATCTTTTATGCTTCGTTTCTGTGATCCAGCATTTAACCAGTTCACAACTTTCCGTTTGAACCCAACTCCACCATCGTTTGTCCGTCTCCTGTTCACTGTATGGTTACAACATTGCTGATTCCCCTTCCTTACTTCTTGTATCTATCACCACCACTTTGTAATCTGTTCTCATTTGCTCCCATATTCCTTTCCCTTTTGCATACTTTCAAGACTTCCTTCTCCGAGGAAGTTGAATCCACCCACTCGAATGTCAGTTCCCGCCATTTCGAGGTATTTGTCAAACTTCAGCATCGTGTTCTTACTCTAACCAATGCACCTGGTGTCGGGTTTTTGAATTGCTTTCTGTCTATCGACAGCTGCCACTCACCAGTAGTAGTGCACTTCCCGACATTCACTTGTGGGGTCGCCTATTATATCGATGCATTCAGAAGTTTGTTCGCTGTGTTCTGCGCCGTCCAAACCGGTCCCACAAGCTTCGTTCCGTTCCATGAGACTGAATGAATCACGCCACAGGTTAACCACCATTTTGTTTAGAGCTTCTGTGAGTTGGCTTCACTAAACTTTCTACTGCTTGTCATAACTTCAGGTCATGTGAGTTTTTAGCATGACGAGCACTGTCCACTTGACTTGCTTGTCAAGTGAAGTAATACACCTTCCTCCGGTTGTCAGCACCTGTCCAAATGTGCCTTTTGACGCTAGTCATCTGTTTTTGGCACCCAGACTTCCAACTCTGCCGAATCGATCATACGTACCGTAAAACCGGGTAACTTTGGTCCACTTTTTTGGTTTAGTATGTACCACACACATTTATCATTGCTTTTGATAACATTATTTAGTGATTTGTTCATGGGCTATAGTGTTATAATGCTGTGGAAAATGTTAACGGATGCAGTGCTATATCCTTAAGTCAGTTGTTTTAAATTACGTAATATGGCCAAAGTTATCCCTTAACGGGGGGGGGGGAATACTTTGGCCATGAAGACAACACATACACAGAACCAAAGTTGCGTAACGCAACGGTAAGTAAGGCCACAGTTTATGTGTAAAAACAAGAATTACAAAATGCATGTATAACATTATTACATACTTAAACAAATATCTCAAAAATATTTTTCGAGGTCGACAGGCCTTATTTGATGGTAGAATACACTCGTCATTACAATCAGGAAAGATTTCCAGTCGGTTGTCACTGAAATCACCGACAGAGGACAAGTAATAAATAAACAAATGGTATATTCTCGATAGAACGTAGTACAAATATGCATACAAGCATAGCTGTTTTCTAATAGTAAAACATTTCATCTTAATAATCAGCTTCTCATAGATAAACGTTGACAGACGAGTCACTTTCTGGTTCAGCACATGGCTCGGTTCCGGTAACAAATTCCTCGATTGGACGCGAGGCACTTTTCCCAGGCTGGATATTTGCGGCTTTTCTTCTTCACCAGTGGCAAAATGCATTTATTTCAGTCGTTGCGTGTATGCCTCTGAAACGGAGGTGCTAATGACATATACAACTTCATTCTCCTCTAGAATTATATTCAGGACAGACTGGGGATTTATTGGGTACACGCCAGGTTTTCTACACCCTGACCGTAAGCTTTTGCAATACCTTCACCCATGATATGTAGAAGCTGCTTGAGCAGCCCCGGAAACCTATTCTTCTGGATGATTTGGGCCTTTTGCCACGGGAAGTTTTGTACCTTTTCAGGATGGACCTTCACTGAGTCTTCATATGCCGAAAAATGCTACATCTAGAAGTTAGCAGAGGTGGGTTGAGTTAGATGATAGGAAACAAAAAGCCATATTGTTTTCATTGCAGAATCTGACAATGTCGAGCGAAAAATGTGAACTGAGAGTGTCACCCAAAGGGACACAACGGCCAGTTTTTCTGTGACAGAAAGACAGTGCCACGCACTGAAACCAGTCCAAAAAACAGATGCTGTCAAACCAGCCTGACCTTGATATGTTATATCATGTGCCTGGTGGGCCATTCTCCGTTCAAGCGTTTCAAACCTATTCGCTTTTGTACACTACATATGGTGGCAGTAACTTTCCATTAGCAATGTCAGCAAACATCAGGCTAATTGCTGACTTTGACGAGTTCATACTCCGCTCGGGATATTTGGTGCCCCTTTTGTAGATTAATTTTGTCCACCCAGGATCGTCAGACAAATTGGTTTCTTCGTAGTTAATTATCTTGGACGGTGGAACATCCCTCACTGTTTCTTTTATCAAAATACTCTGAGACTGTTTTTCTTGACAAACGCTTCTTTTGAGATATTTTGACACAGTCTAAGCCTTAGTGTGTCACTGTGTTTGTTCATAAAAGATTCAACTCAGTCTTTGCAAGGCTTATTGCTTTTAATCCAATCGACTACTCTCCTTTGATGGTCTAAGTAGACTTCAATAAGCATTATGACATCACACGGCTCAAATGGGAATCCCCAGTCCAATATGACAATCATATGGTCAGCAATGGACCTTTCCTCCTGCTCATTAAGAACGGGTGGCCTTCCTGGTTTCTTCGAATGTTTGTTTTGTAGTTCGTTCTGTAGTCTGCTCCTTGCAATACCGAGTACTGTACTAACATCACGATGCCCACGGCTATTTTGAATCAAATTAATAGCCTGTTGAAGCGTTGCGTCACGTGAACTGTATTTCCTACATTCACGCATGGATTTTTAGCTTCTAGACATCGTGAAAATGTGTTGTGTCTGGGGAAGAGCGAAAAGACACTACCTTAACTTTTTTGATCTCCAAGAACTCAGTAAGAAGGTAGTGTGAGACCGTCAGCGTGTATTCCGTAAACTTAGATCCAATCCTTTTGAACCAACCAGAGGATAAACCAATAGCCAACAGAATAGGAAACACGATGCTACTCTTTTTCGTAGACGCGTTTTCCTTTTTTTCGATGCATCACCTGCAACAATCCGTTGGTAGGCCGGCTGTTGGCCTGAGAGGACAAGAAAATATTACTATAATTACGGTCTTTTCTATTACACAGTTAACACTAATGACATTTTATTTGAACTTGCAAACTTGAAGCATTGTGTTCTAACAGTGTTTACTTAACGGGGTTACGCTTTTTTCACCTGGCCAGAGTTACCCAAAGTAACGAAACCTATTGGGGTAAAATTGGCATGATACTATTGTTTGAATAATCTCAGATATGCTTACTATTACTTATTGACAAAGTGACAACACCGGTAGTTATACTTATACAATCATAAAAACTTGATTCACAGTTAGAAATCTACCGTATGTCAAACACATGTCATAAAACAGGCCATTATAACAACGAGTATTCTCAGGACTGGATTTCGAATTAATGAAACTAAATGTTCAACACATAAAACCAACTTTATCACACACAGAATAATAAAAATAAGTATCCTCTAAGTTTTTAACTTTTTTTGCTTGTTTTCCCAAAGTTACCCTCATTTTATGGTACTCACTTCATAGTTGGCAGCATCAATTCCCGGATTTGCCGTTATCTGTCACAGCGTTTGGCGCTGCATCTCTCTCCCCTCACTCCTATCCAATATTCAGTGTATATAAATGAGGTACACAACCGATAACGCACATTACACTTCTCCAAAAGTCCGCAAGACATTACGACTGTTCAGAGACCGTAGCTAAAGCGTTTCTGCAAACATTCGGCACGTGCTAGATCAGTACTTGGTAGACTTAAATGTTCCTGTAACGATGCTGCAAACTGCTCCACCATGATACTCCTTCTATAGCCGTCGTCAGCATCGTGCATCCCGGAACCATCCGTATCGAGATGTCCAAATCCGCATTCGCACCCCCTTCACAGTCGACCGTCGCACGCACCACCTCAATTGCAGAACCCCTTCCAACCATTGCTGATCACTTTGACTGGGTCACTTCTCCGTGCGATTAGACACCAGTCAGCTTGTTCGACCGGGACCAACCGGATTCACTGATTGTTACTTTCTGAATCTGTCGCGTAGTAGTGTATAAGTGTGATACACCATTCGTTTGTATCATAGATGTGCACAGTGTGGGAGATGGGCCTTGTTTGACCACTATCGGATATGTTGCATTTCCCTTATTCGGCGGGAATATCGAATGAGATCATCAAGGAGCCCCAGTTGGTAATTGACAACAACATCTGCCTGCCGTCGCAGCCGGCTGAAACTAGAGTTAGTCAGCAAACAACATAGAAAGCGAGCACAATGAACCTAATCTCACTACGACACGGACCATGCGTAACCGGTTACTTTAAACTATGAAACTTTTCCGAGTGAGTATGGCGACTCCATGCATGCCTCTATGCTGTACGATAGTATTTTTTGAACAATATTCTTGGCTGTCACGATGTGTAGATCCTACGCTCGTGAGGCCATCCTCGGATACAATTTTTCACAGATTTCCATTATGTTAGTCATGTAGGTGCCATTTCAACTTGTCGTTGCCACCTGGTTCGAGTAACATCGGTGGCTCTCAGTATTTCTGTTCCTTGTCAGCCTACTCAAATTGCACTCCGGTGACCCTCCAAGTCTAACGTCGTGCCAGCGTTAATCCATCTTCAGTTGCACTTACGTGTTCGCTCTTCTTTTATACGCACTCCGCTCCGCCACTTCACCACTGTTTAATTTGTCGTCCTCCAGTGCTGTGTTCTATTCAAAGCGCTAAGGCACAGACTTGACACGCTTCCCACTTGAATCCGCACCGTTGTACTCGCCGCAGTTGGGTGCTGTTTCTTTACCTTCGAATTTTTCCACCGTCTCGACTCTTCTTCATCTTTGGTTCTTTCTTTTCTCTTTACAGCCTCGCCTTTCAACTTCCACCTACGATATCCAGTCGAAAACGAATCATCCGGATCGTCGATAAGATCACACGTTCGAGCTACTTTCAAAAAGCTGTCGATAACAAATTGGTACAGCGCGGCATGGAGCTACTCTCCAACACGCCCATAGTCCTAGAAGCTGAGGTACGTGACACCCTTGTCAAGGGTTCCTCTTTCACGTCACTGTAGCCTTGTTCTCAGTTAACCACGCCTTGCTGCGTCCTCTGGGTACGGTGTTTTGAATTCACTATCCTAGGTGTTGCGCCAATGTTCTCCTTCAATGTGTTTTTATCATACGATACTGTTTTGCGCACCCAACCGCGCTACGAACTGGTGTTGGAGTCACAAATCCAAAACATTAACCAGCCGGTTTATTGCGACGTTTTTCCTGCAACTGATTAGTCGAACCCACGTCTTGTCTATATCTTACCTCCCCATTTGCTATCGTCTTCAAACATTTTCTACCGTTCGTCCTGTGCATCACTAAATGAAATTTTGCTCGGGCTTGCGATTTCTTCCAGTTGATCGTTTATACGGTACCGTGTATAGTATGTCTACCAGCCATGGTCAAGGACCTGGATGCATCATGACACTGAGGATGGCTTACGATTTCCAGTTCCTTCGTACGTATACTTGAGTTTATCACATAAGCACTAAATTCAACCTTCCGATCGATGATTGCAGTAATTTACTAGTCCATTGACTCATTTAGAAGCGAGAACTCTCACTTTCTGCCACCACACGTATAGTTTGGACGGCGGCACGTTTCAAACCTTTGTGCATACCCCGATTACCCCCTTCCCACATTCGGTTGATTTCGTGGTGGATGTATGTGAGACCATGGTAGATCGATTTTCCGATCATATTGTGCCAAATGGTACGTTCCATTTGCTGCACTTTGCGGCGCGCTGGCATAATTATCGATCTTCTTTACTTGTACAATTGTATTTATCTTTGAGTTGGGTCAAAGACATTTTCTGTGCCACATTTTTAGCATCTATCCGGTTGGATTGTTGATGTTGATGCGGAAACTCCCAAGTTGTTGTTCATTACATGGATCTATTTGAAGCAGTGGTTTGTGTGCTTTGAGATTGCGACGCGCAATCTCAATGTGGACCGCGATTCGCGTGGTAATGTAAACCCTGGTCAATTTGACCACAAAGACCATATGATGGTGGTGGCAGGGTCTTCAAATTGGCCGTTACCTTTTCCCTGGAATATCGCTCTGCAGATTTATCAGTTTCCACTGAGATTTTCTTCCCTTAGGCTAATTACAAACTCACTAAGGTTGTCCTTCGCCGATTTTTGAAACCAGTCGTTGAGATACTGCACGTAACGCCCTAAGTTATCAGAAAGTGTTTTGTTACTTAAGAAACACTCGTCCATATCTAAAAAATTTTCCTCGACGTCATACCATCAACGGGATGCAGATTCGGGATCGTTTGAATGACACTTGCACTGCTAACGTCATATTTTCCAGTTGTACAAGTTTGCATTTTTAATGATGTTGCTTTAAAACATCCACGGTGAATATTGTAAAATGCTGAAAATGTACCACCCTCTCGGGTATATAGGGCTTACATTGACTTGACAAACAGATGAATATTGGATGTTGCCCGCTGGAAAACATGTCATTTCACGGGATGTTTCAAACTTCATACAACAATTTCCCTCCACTCATTTCAAATAAGCAAGAATGAACCACATTTCAACAGATTAAACTGAATTTAGCTATTTCAAATATTCTCATCAGCTGTTCGCATACAAATTGTGGAGAAACGGATATCTTTAAAGAAAAAGGTGTCCTATACGTTACCGTTTAAATGGGACCAAGTTGACAGGAGATGTCGGTATCGTCTCCGCCAATCTATTAGGAATTGTTCTAGTGCAGCTGAACTAGTGATATTGCACCAGACAAGAAGGTTGCTCTATGCAAATTCAACCTTGACAGACCAGACTCTCAAGTTACCGCTTCATGTGTCTGTCAGTTTCACTGTACTTGCGGTAGAAGCACGTTAACCGAACTGAGAGAATGCCATCTTCAAGGATCTCAGAACTCATTCCTCCGAACATGGTTGCGAAGGCCCCCAACCTACCTACTAGCTCGGCGTGAAACTGCTCGGCTGCCCAAGCTCAAGTAGGGGACGACATAGGCGGAATCGTCCTAGCCTTTTGTCGAAGTAATGAAGTCGTTCCCATTTGGTGCCGGTGACCGTTTTTTCAGTTCATACACTTTCGTTTGTTGATTTGCCAAATGATGGCCTAATACACAGTATTCCTTCGAGGTGAAGCAAGAGAAAGTGACTTCAGTTATTGGCGAGTCACCTCCACAACGTACCAGTATTGTTCAACGGGCATTTGTAGTTTTTTCAATGAGAATGCTTGCCAAACGAAAATCCACTATGTCCTGAAATACTACCGCCGAACAAGCTGCTGGAACGTAATAAACCCGTACCACCCACCATGATGATGTGCCAAACTGAAGTTAGCTGCACTGCCACGTAGGGTTTGCCAGTCTCTGTCATTTAATGCCAAACAATCATATCAGTGAAATCGAGAGAAGCCAGAGACCTCGTTTTCTAAACCCAGTTGCACGAGAACCTGGAGATATTGTCTATATTCTTTGTCTCTGCAATTGCGGTTTACTCATTCGTTTGTTGTGCCAGCTGTAAGCGAAATCATCCAGTTAACAATCCCCTGAGTAGTTCTGCCTTAGGATTTACAGACTCGGTCCGTGTGTACACAACATGCGGGATAGGAATGAAAACCTTGGTGATTACCGAGAATAGAGTACGAGAAGATAGAAATCTGTGTTGCTCCATCGTAGGTGAATCGGGCACATGCGCGGAATCACGTCGCTGATTCCTGCGCGGCGGCAACAATTTACAGCTGCACTACATCTGATCCGAAGCTGGCTCGGTTGGTGTGTCACGGCTCTCTGGTTGGGGTCCAAAAGACGATGAACACGTTTGGCGTTCGTGCTGTGAGTTTCTTTGTCCTTCTCCATCCATCTTAGTCTCCCTCTCCAACCACGATCTCATTTCGTAGCATAATATAATTTTACATAATAATTTGTTGTTGACTTGTGGCCGGCTGGTAGCTTTCCAGAACGATGCCCTCCCATTGTTGGTAGCTCAGCTGGCATGTAACTTGCATTTTTTTCTTTTATTTATTGCGGCACAGTAGATGAGGTGTTTTCTACCTCTGGCTAACGTGTATAATGTATGAATGACTGACATCTTATCCGTGTGCGATACGCTCCCAATACCTGTAGCCCGCAAAGTGGACGTCAAGGAACCTCTTAAATTCCGACACCGATTTTGCCTCGACTAGCGTCTCCGGCCATTTGTTGCAATATCTCGACGCTCGAGACATTAGAAAGTGAGCGATGCGCTTTAAAACCGGCACCGCTAGTTTGTATCGGTCTCCTTGTGTGCTGCTTGGTGCGCAAACGTACAACAGCGGCCTCAACCTAGGGAACTGGTCCACGTGCAGTGTCTGGTGCGTCATAATGAGATCAACTCGGAACCGATGACAGGGTATAAAGCCCCAGTCTCCTACATCGGTCCTCGTACGCCATACCCCTAAACTGGGGATGAGCCGGATAACTACATGCTTGACCCGTTCTAGTCTTTGCACTTCACCTATTGTGATCGGACAATAGACGTGTGAGCCGTATTCAAGCACCGGTCTTATCATGGAAGAGAACAGACGGGTGGCAGTCTCTTCAGACCAAGTGCAGAAGCTGCGTCTAAGTGTCTAAAGCAGGCGTAGTCAGTTTGCGTACAGTCTGTTCATGTTGTTGACAAACTTCAGATCACAGCGTGAGAGTACGCCTAGATCCTTTACGAAACTGGTGGGTTGACCGGTAGGTCAACCTTTACGGACCACCGGTATAGGCGGTCGAGGTGCTGCTGAACGATCTCACAGTCGTCGGGCAAATCAGTAATCCTCCAACTCTTCAAGTTATCTGCAAGCAGTACACAAGACGACCGGAGAAGCTGAGGCACTTCGTTTATGTGGATCAGGAGTGAAATTGGCCTTAATACTGGGCCTTACGGTACACCGCTAGTGAAGGGGTACCAGTCCGTTAGGTGGTCATCCATCTGTACGCGTCATCTCCCAAAAAGGAAGTCACAGATCCACTGGTGCACTGCGCTAACAACACCACACATCCTCAGCTTGTGGAGCAGGACATCATGGTTCACTTTTTCGAAACATTTACTGAAATCAATACAGATAACATCCACTGACTTCCCCGGTTCATCGCTTGCAATCATTCCTGCCGCGTCAACAGCAGGTTAGTGATGCACGAGCGACCCTTCATAAAGTCGTGCTGTGCCACCGTTGGGAGATTTTTCGACTCCAGCAACTGGAGGAGACCCTTTTTCACAATCTTCTCTCGCCAAAACAGAGGTGAGACAGATCGGCTGGTAATTGTCTACATTGCGTGGGTCACCGCCATTTGGAATCGGCTTCACTACCGAGCATTTCCAGTCGCTCGGTAATCCACCCTCGGACAGTGATCTGTTGAACAGATCCTTCACGGCAGGCGAGATGATGGCCGATAAGGACTTCGAAATTAGTAGGTGAAGTCCATCGGATCCGGCACGTTTTGTGCCATCAAAACTGGGAAGTAGACTCCGGACATTTTCTACATCGCAATGCAGGCCCTCGAGTTCAGTAATGGCTGCACTCGTCGAGATCGGCATAGGCGCATGCCCACTTATCAATACGGATGCAAAGCGCTCCTCCACTGCGGACGCACGTTCATTGCTGGAGGTCAGAGGTTGTCCGTCAGTGCTCTCTAAGACAGCTACGTCACTTGCGGGCCTCAGGCACCGCTTCACGTAAGCACAAATCTTCTTGGGTGCCGTATTCATTGAGGTTGCATTCTGTTCTTCGAACTGCCGACGCTTTTGCGCTGTTACATGGATTCCGCTGCCTTTTGTACACCTCATAATCGTCGGCAGAGCCAGGCACGAGGAATCTATTCCACAATACGCATCGCCATCGAGCCAATTGGCCATACTCTTTATCGAACCAATGTGGCTTTCTGATACTTGAGGGGGTACGAAACGAGCGCACAACGATTGTACACCCTTTTTATGACAGACCAACTGGCTTCAGCAGATGAATCCTGCGGCAGTGGCCAGTCCACTTCACTGGCGGCTCGATTGGGACCATCGAAGTCAGTCTTCCAATGATTGTAGGATGGCTTCTACGAACATGAGTAGGGCAGTGGCAGCTCTAGGCCGGTCAACACCATCGAGTGGTCTCTAGCTGCCAGAGACTTCAGGACTTGACATTCATATACACGATGCTCGCAACTCGTTAGTACGAGGTCCAGACACCATGGAGCGGAATGCGGTGTAAGGCGCGTCACTTGGCAGCCATGTTGTGTGGCTCCAGTTTCAAATATCATCTCCGCAAACTGCGCCTTGATTTTACAGTGCCTGGGGAGAAGTTGAACCTCAAGCCACCGTATTCGACAGAAGTTAACGTCGCCCTTAAGCAGGAAGCCGGACTGACTCATGTAGTTTCTGGCATGCGGCAACCAACGCAGGCATCGGCTTCGCGGGCTGCGATAAGCCGCACCCACAAACAGTTCACCCTGTCTCAGGCGGATCGAGCACCATCATTGTTTGCACAGGTCATCTTCGCTGCCATAGGTGTGTACTAATCTCCCACACAGCGACGATAGAATGTATAACAGCATGCCGCCTCGGCCGTTTGCTAGCGTGTCGCACCTGAAGCACAAGTATCCACTAATCTGGACTTCCTGGGTAGTGACCTCAGGATTTAACTAGGTTTCGACCAGTCCTAGTACATTCGGACGACGAGAGGCAACGAAGTGATATACATCGTCATGTTTGTTTATTAAACTACAAAGATTTGTGAAGGCTACGCGCAGGCCGCGGTAGGAACCGACGGACGCGCATGAAACGCCATCGACCTGCTGATCCGGGTTCGGTGGACCCGGCGAACTACCGAAAGACTGGTGTTTCCTCTATCAGTCAGCCGATACAACGCCACGAAAGCGGACTTCAGTTTCTCCATATCCGACGGATCCAAATCTGGAGGAATTTGGATTCTTAGCCTTCCGAGGCGGGATAGTATCAGCCTCCGACTCGCTTCATCAAAAAACCTAACTTCCGCACTTCTCTCTTTCCAAGATAGGTGATTTGCTTCACTCGCAATCCCTGCCAATCATGCTTTGCAGAAAATCCACGTCGTGGTCATAACGAGTGCGAAAACTAGCATCTGTCGACTCAGGGGCGTGAAATATTATAAGGTTGCAACGCCGCGGATTGCTGGCAGTTGTCCTCTCCTTTTTGCTTCGCTGCACTCTCCATTGGCCTCCATCGCCTGCGCTATCGCACATCGGTATGTTAGTGTCCGTAGGACGTAGCACAGGTACGTCAGCTGAGGCTCCAGCAACTGGTGAACATCGCTCTGGAGAGCCTGCAGCCGGTGTGCAAGTGGATTCGTTCGAACATAGACGTGGCTGGGTTTCCGTTTGCTTGGATGAACACGCGGAGCTCCCCTCTGTGGCTCGTGTCGCTCGTCTTGTAGGCTCGCGCGGCTTCTCGGCTGTTTGTGACTGCACAGTACTTGAACTAAGTCATGCTGAATTTCACACAGTAGTTTAGAATGATCTAAAGACAATGCAATACACGAAATGTGGAAATTCACACGACAGCGCATGGAACAGCATTAGCTCTATGCGCAACTATTATGCAATAAGTGCCACAGGGAGTCTGCTTCGCCATTACGGGTAGCTTAGCAGATGTGACGGTGAATTTGCTAAATTGAACCATAAATACACGATACAAATACTGCAGTAAAATATACGGACAGGACACTAATACACAACAAACACATTCAGAATCGCGCAAGAAACTGCATTTGACAAGAATAAACACGAAAAATATGCTCTGCACGAAGTAATGAACCATGTAAACTCGCCTGTCAAACAGAACGAGTAAAGCCATCCCGCGAGCGCTATCCGCAGTCGGATTATACAGTCCGTGTTGATGACGTCTGCCGATAGATTTTCAATTCAGATGGACTCCGTCGATCGCTGAGCTGCATTGTTTCCCTGCACGTGTTTCAATGTCTTGCATTTGCATGCCTGCTCAGCGATTACTACTTTGCGTGCAACCACATAAGCGTCGAATGGCTGCAAGGTGATCAGCGTATGGTTTCAACCCGAAGTATGAAGGCGTTAACTCGATTCCAGAGTTGGAGACCCAAGACCTGATGGCGCATCTGCGTAGAATCGCTCATGGCCGTTGCTGAGAACTGCAGTCATTGGTGAGCATATCGTGCTTCAACGTTAAGAAAAAGACCTTATTCTCTTCGTCTTACAGTCTTTCACTTTGTGTTACGACGCTCTTCCAGTTGGATGTATACGTGCATACCCTCGTTTGCGCTGTGTAGCCAAATTTTTCTTAGCGAAATATGGAAATCGCATCATTATCTTGGTATAAAAACCCTGTGCATTTTGTTTTCCACGAACTGATTGGCAAGCTCATTCCTCCTGCGCAATTCGTTTTCCATTACGCCCACAAATCCTGTTCTGTCTAATCCTCAACTTCTTCTTAGACGCACGGTGTTATTACATGAAATTATGTTACTTAGCACACCTTAAATTCTTACTTTTTTCAAGCGTATCCCTCGAATCACTTGACATCCGTATTAGCTTGGAATTTAATTCTTTCCTAATGTCAACCTCAATCGTTTTCCATTATGGAACAGATCCAGACTCTCAGCGGGACCCTGTTGATCAATATACCTCCTCCACAAAGTGATCGGTTGTGGTACGGATTCCGTCCGAATTTACAAATGCGATTGAAGGTGCGTCCTCGCGTGGGTGAAAAGGCTGTCACTATGTCACGGATTCTCGAATGGATTGAAAATCGTGTACTACTGGAGTTTCAGGTGCGCTACGAATGTGATATTTCTGTGTTACGTTTCTCTGCATCAGACCGCAGCGAATCACAATTTACTTTGTATTGCACTTGGTTATATCCGTGGGGACTTTCGAATTGGAGATATTTTACTTGTTGCTCGCTCCGAACACTACTTGGACCCTTTAGATATTATTCAAAGATGAATTAGCAAACAAGCTCCTTTTCAATCTTTCCTAAGCAGACGAATACACCACGAATGAATGGCGTGAACGTAAACAGCAGATTAGAGCACTAGACGATCTGAATGACAGCTGGGTGATTGTCTCAAAATTGACAAAGAGCATTGTGGGTGATATCTTCCACAGCATGTGTCATTGAGTACCTGGATAAACTACTTTTTCGCACAAAGATCATGAAGCCGAATGACGATCGCTCTAATCGCTGCCAGTAAGCAGATAACATCTGACCACTCCTATATGGTGTCTGGTCATATGATAGATGACATGAAACGGCTACTGTGTTTTAAGCTAGCGGTTCGAATATGCAGGCACTGCACTTGCCACTGTTCTCATCACTCCGCTATACTGCCAAGCTGGACAATGCTCCAAAACTCTGTTACAGTCTCCTGGTAGTACTTCTTGATCTACACTAACAAGAGCAGTTGTGGTGATGGTGATAGTGTTTCGTTTGGAGTGAATGTGTGGATGGATGGCACTACACAGTCAACCTGCACCGCGATTTCACTTGAAATGAATCATTTTGGTCCCTGGGACCGTACTAGAAACAGTCATGGTCTAATTGCCGTTCAACATACCGCCCACATAGGAGTGAGAAACAGCTCAGCTATCGTGACGCATTGCAATTCAATGTGTCAATAAGACAAAGGAAAGAACAACAACAAAGGCAAAACAAAGTGTTGTTATTACTATGGTCCGTTTTACCATAGTATGTACTGACGCCACAATCGTGCCTGGAGCTGGAGGCCGGGCGGGATTCGATGGTAACTAGAAACTCGCAGCACAAACTCCATTGGCCTGTCCCTGGCCGTAGCAACAAGTGTATCCAACCATACGAGTTTGTCGTATTTCGGATCCCAACCATGGAGTCTACATATTTAACCGAAGCCAACTTCGAAGTGAGGGTTTTAACCCACCCAATTCATCGGTAGGCCTCCTCTATAGATAGATAGTTTTCTCCTCGTTTGACCCACATAGTCTTTCTCACAGTTCTCGCACTGTATCCTGTAGACGACATTTCGGGGAGAATACTATCTACAAGAATACAAGAGCACAAGCATGCATGTCGATACCATTATGCATCGTCGCAGATCTCAGCACATCTCGATGATGAATGACACAACGTTAACTGGTACAACACGGAAACTTTTTGCCGCACGGACGGACAAGAAAAGGAAGAGAATTCCTCGAGACAAGGTTTTCTACGGACCATTCTGTGAATTTCTACATTGACGTCGATCCTGCGGGATTTTTCTCTACGCAGCAGTGCACTGGAGATGCCACTGCGCGAAGTGGTGAAACGATTGCCATTACAGTACTCAGTTCGAAGAATGAATCAAAACCTTGACAAGCTTGTTCGCCACTTTTTGTTTCTGATGTATTTTTCGGGAATTGTCTCTCAATTGAAACATTGTTAGTCTGTCCACTGTTGCTTGGCACGTTCCTGAGCTGTCAGAGATGAGATCAATGCAGTCAGTGTACTCAAACTGCTAAAATCGATCACCGACAGGCATCTCCACACCTTGTAAGTCGTGTCCAGTGAACGCGATTTCCTTGACTTCGTCAATAGCGAAGTTGAAGAGGAAAGGTGACAGCCGACAACTCTGTCCTGCAAAGTTGTAGATATTGAAAGGTGTCAATAGCTTGTTGTAAGCACTCACTCTGCCCGAGACATGCGCGGAAAGCGATCGGATAATTACTTATTTCTCAGGCACAACTTAGCAGGTAGTCACAAAGGGCACATCGATCCACCGAATCGAATGCGCCTTTGATGTCGTGGTACACGACTAGGGTAGGCTGCCGATATATGTAATGGTGCTCCAACAATTGAAGTAAAGTGATGGTGTGATTGACGCAACTTCGACGAAACCCGTCTTCCTTACGAATATGGCCTTCTTGAGTGCTAGTCAGTTTGTGAAGAATGGCGGAAGCAATCAGTTTGGAGACGATGAAGATCAGAATGATTCCTCTATGATTGCTGCATTCCGAACTGGATCCTCCCTTGAACATCCGGACAGTAACGCAACTGCTCCAGCCGGCTTAGACGGATTCCTGCTTCCATAGTTTCACTACTAATCGTGTACATCACCAACAAGAGTAGGTCCACTGAATGTGACGGGAGCAGGAGGAATCCCATCTCGTTCTGTAGTATTATTCGGCTTCGCCAGTTTGCTACCACTCTCGACTTCTCTGAGCGAGAGAGTGAGTCAAAAAGGACAGCCCGGAGAGGAGAGCGATCGCGCTGCCTCACTAGACTCAGTGCATCAACACTTCATTGCTACACGAATGTTATAACCCTACTATTGAGGTATGAACAGGGGAATGAACGCTGTCCAAAATAAATTAAACATTCTAGGCCACAAATAGCTGAGAAGCTAGGGAGGTTAGGCAGCATAGCTTTCTTGTGATTTTCACTACCGTCGATTATATGCAACTTCACTCCACGGACACCAACACGTATAATTTAAATGTACGAGACAGCATGTGCACCATAGCTTGTGCTATCTTGGTTTGGTGCACTCTCCATTCCTATGATGGTTATAACTTTCGTATCGATCAGTTTCAGTTTTTCCTAGCCTAAACATTTTGTTGTTTTCTCTCCGCGTACCTTTTCATATACTTTTGTTGGACGCTCTGAAATTTTGGGCCATCTTACCTCGTGACCGCTCTTTGGTTCGTAACAAAGATGGGAACATGTTTTATCAATAGTTACCTTGTCAACAGTCTCATTTTCTCGCGATAAACTAATCATGCTCCTCCGTTGCTCTCCATGTCTTTATCCAGCGCCTGGTTGTTCTACCGAACATGGACGATATTGTTATTCCACTTCTGCTCTCCGATGTCACCGCGGGAGGAACGAAGTGATTCACTTACGACCATTCTATCTCGAACCTTTTCATCTTTTTCCATCAGCCGTCGTCGGCCTCTGTTGTTGTCTTTCATGCATTGACGATATCCTTTTTCCAAGCTGAACTGTACTTTACGTTCCTTTGATTTGAGCTATTGTTGAGTTTTTCTGCCGTACTGCTGCTGAGTCACTCCCCACAGCTGCTTACATGCATAAATGTGTATCCCCTTATTTTGCTGTGTCCTTCACACAAACGTGCGTTCCGACTACCCAGACTACTGAAGCTTCTGTACAACAACACAGGTACACAGGTGTCCCACTTCCAATGGGCACAATGCATTTTGCTCCCGTGTATCACCGCCGCTGAGCAACCATTCCACACAGACTTTACGATATGGCTATCCATATTTAATACTCAACATCAGATCCACTCGTTACGAGCTTCAGACGTACCCGCACACGTTTTATTCTCTGTCTATTGTTTTCTACGGGCTTGGCGCTTCTGCCTTCCTTTTGTCTTGTTATTTTTCTCGCTCATCACTGCATTGACTTGAATTTTTACGCTAATCTCGCCGTTTTCAATCTGTGAACTTCCCTCCGTCTGTGTATACGCATTGAGGGTCGCTTGGTAAAACAGAACCTGAGATGTCTTTTCCGAATGTATGATCGACCAGCGGAAATCGACACAGCATTCCGCATGATGTCCGTCTTGCTCACTGGTTGCGTCATAAGCGGGATGTCATTTTAGTCAGCTCATCTGGATGTGTGCTGGTGCTTCTTGCTTGAACCGACATTGATCACTTTTACCTTCTAGTACTAATCTCATTCTGTGTAAATCTTACCGTCAACAAACTGGCACTGTGTTGCATTGTACATGTCCGAATTATCCAAGCCTGACTACGCTGGACGAAAGCTTCTCCTCCGCACGTTATCTGTCATCTATGAGTGAGATGTCAGTCTCTGTCCCTTAATGTCGTTTAAAGATGTGACTCTGATCCATCGTGCTCCTCATCATCAACGTCGTCATCAAAAGCAGCAGTATTGTAAGCGGATTCCTCGCAACCGACCCGTAGCTTTAAGGATCACAAGCCTGACTTGTAATCCGAGGGCCCGGCTTCGAGTCGGCGTAGGGGACCTGGTGACCTTCGAAGTATCCCTAGTCCACGTGCGACTGATAGCGGTTGCTCGGCAGCAAGCGTTGATACTGCGCACTGACGTACTGCTGATACCTTCTTAATGAGGAATAACGTAGAAAACGTTTGGTGTAGCGCGAAACCCAAATGTTCTCAGCAAACACCCATAATCTGAGTATCCGCACCCCGTGAATACAACAAAGTCACAAATAACACTACCTAATGCACAAGTACAATGTGGAATCGGTGAGATGGCTCTCTTGTGGCTGTTCGATCCGCCGTATGAAATAAACAAACGTACAGCACAGAGCGATTACACGACATCAAAGAGGCAGCTTGGATGGAAGACGACAGCAAACACTCCATTAGTGCCACTTTCTATAATCAACCACCGGATATTTTTTCTTGGTGACTACTTTATGCCGAGGCCGCTTCTGCGCGTGCATACATTAAACAGTACTCACAGACACACTGGTACTGAACCTGAAGCGGATAGCTCACCCTCCATATCTTGAGCGTTTAGTAGTGAACTATTGGAACAGTTTGTCCGGGACAGTAGTGGAGACGAAATCCAGCAGACTCCTAGACGCACACTTTGCGCATTACAGACATGGAGGGCGCATTGCATCTAACGCACCGCCGAACTGCGTTGACAGTGTGCGGTAAGAAACGACGGTATTTCGCGTGCATGCGCGATATGATATCGATGGAACAACTGGTGTCTTCTATTTCCGTATCTTCGTTGGCTCGTGTCTTTAAGGATCACAAGTCTGCCTTGTAGTCCTGAAGTCGAGTATTCGAGTCTGCGTATTGGACAGGGCTACCCTTTCGGTATCCTTAGCCCACGTGCCACCTTTGGTGTTTGCGCGGTAGCGAATCTTCGGTACTGCGTACCGAAGCGTAGTGATTATGGGGTTTTTTTCTAAGCTTCCTAACTTCAGTATTCACGTCAGATCTCAGGCACAAAATGAGTCACCCGAACCCAATAGTCTACGCCAGGAGTGTCCAAACTTTTTGCAAGGAGGGCCACATTTTGTGAGGAAAATATGTTGAGCCTTATTCAGTCTTACATTAAGATAATGATAAAAATTACACATAGTCGGAACAAATACGAGCCGGAATTTCGACACCCTTGGTCTACGCCCCATCAAGTTTGGTCTCCGTTGTGACTTTATACCATTAAAAAGCCAACAATTCCGAGCTTCTAGCTATCGTAGGCCCGGCACATAAAACAAAGATGTCTTTGGTAAGCCATGTACAGGTATTCACGTAGCGAATGCCTCATTTCTCTATCTACTGAACGTTATTACGCATCCAACTTCTGTGGACATAATGGTACCACCTGGCACTGTCGACGCTCCAGTATCAACGATGATCAAAGTTCTGTTATGTGCTTCAGACCGTGTCTCACTTCTGTAGTGCAGAGCGGCTCTCACTGTGATTCTTTACACACGACTGAGGTCAAATCCAAATCGGCTCCATCAGGATCGTATAAGTGCAGGATTCTGCGACGTTTATTGCGCGGCCACCGGTGCACGGCCGTTTAACTTTCATTTTTTCACGCCACTAAGGACAGGAAAGGGAATAATAGCATAGGAAAAGAGGAACATGCAACTGGAGAGAAATGCAAATACCGAAACACCGTTTGTTCTTCACTGAAGTAGATGGTAGTATGCTGCGTCAATGGACCACATCCAGATTGATAGTATCTATGACCTGAATTATATTTACGGCTGGCTTCTCCACTTCAGGAAACCGCACAGTCGTCAGTAACCTTGACACATACAAATACGCAGTCGGTTGGTTGTGTTCCCAGAGGTAATGGTGGTTCAGTTAGGGATTTGGCATGATTGAAAACAATAATTCTCAAACTACTCAATTTGAACGCCAGCGATACAGCGTGGGAATCGTTGACCCAAAACTAACATCATCTTTGCCCTTCTCCTAAATCATCGTGTTACTGGTAAAACTGGCTTTCTGATATCTCTGAGGCGATAAAGGAATGAAGCAGTACACATGTCATTTTTGTACAGGTAACTTACGTCCAGACTCACTCTACGGTCCCTGTGTTATATTTGTGTGTTTCTACAGCAATTTACAAAAAGACAGCCATGAAAACTAGTCTTAAATAGAGAAACTGAACACAACAGGGGAATCCGTGATTTCTTCAGTGGTAACAATACTACCTGATTGCCCAAGCTGAAGTAGGAGGTCGACTTAGAGGGCACCACTCCGAGCCTTTGTTTTGATAGCATTGCTGCAACGCAGCGTAAAGAATTCGAGGAATCGCACCCATTGGGAGCCGGTAACAGATTTTGCATTGTATACCCCTTTGTTTGGTCAGTTACCAAACGAGGGCCCAATTCTTCCCACAATTTTATTACCACGTTGTTGTAATACGTTGCTCTACCGAAATGTGGCTGAAGGCAATGACTACTAAGTGGCGAGTCACATCCACAAGGTCAAAGTGTAGTTAGACAGATGCGGTGCTTCTAATAAGAACTCATTACAAATCCACCACCTCCTGGAACACTGCCGGGGAACCATTTGCTGGAACAGGATAAACCCGAGCCATCCAGCGGGCACGACGTGTACCTTGTTCGGTAAGCCAACCCGCCTTAAGGTAACGAGCTTGTCTTATAGTCTGACGGCGCGGTTTCGAGCCTGCCTAGGGGCATTGCAATCCTCGCAGTATTCTTAGCCCACGTGCGACCGGTGTTGGTCTAACGGCAGTGAAGCGTCAGTAATGCGTTCCGGCGTACTGCTGATGCCTTCTTCTATGGTGAATGCAAAAACCTTACCAGATGTCAGCATGACGGAATTATGCATCTAACCACACGTTGTATGAATCCTATGGTGACAGATACCCTTGTTAGAAAAATACCTACGGAGGAATCTGCATGAAAAGATAACCAATACTACTTAAAAGTAGAAGTGTGCACTATGAGTTAGATATGCTTTATCCCAGTTGGCTCCTATCCAGTAGCGCGCATCTCTCGGCCCCACCAGGACCCGAACACAAGCGGTTTATGCCAGTAAATCATGGGTGTCGGCAGGAGACCATCATAACAGACCGAGCTGTCTTTCGTAGCGTATGTAGGTCTGGTCTGACATTACGCGGCAATTGGCTGTACCCACGGACGCCGCGGAATTTTGTATTACCGCGCCTGCTTCTACATTTGCTTCGGGATTACTGTTATACGTGTTCTTTCTGTGTGAATTGTACACCAATATTTCTCTTGGTGTATTTTTCAATCTGTGCAAAGTTAATGGTTGTTCTCTGATTAATTTCGGAGACCTCCTTGATTGGCCCAACTGCCGTCTGTGTCCGCCATCGTGGATTTGTTCTACAGTAAATTAACTTGTGTCAGCTTGAACGACAGCGTTCGGATTCAGCCTTGTTACCACAACGCTCGCTTGACCGATGTGCGCCGGCATCAAAGCTGAAATGTACAGAACCTCAACCAACCCACTGGGTCAAGTAACGACACCAAGTTGAATGGCACAAATGCGAATGCGATAGGACTCCAAGCAAACGGCATTTGCGGGTAAGGAGAATGTCATCCATTAGTTAAAATAGTTTTGTTTTGCTCACATTATTTGGAACGGTATCATTCGAAGTGTGCAAATTTGTCCCAACAACAGGTCCGAGAGCGAAATAGCTCATGACATGTCCTTTGGTTCTGTACTCCTTGCTAGACCATCCAGCCTGTGAATTAAGCTTATCCTACTCCAGAAGTGCGACCGGTTAACCGCAGAATCCGAGTAGAGAAATAACGATAAGATTATATAGCGAGAGTGGCCGGCTCACGTTAACAGACTATTGGCAAGTACCATTCCCAATGATAGAAGATAGAAGACACGGGACGAAGGTGTATTGTGGTACACGCTGTTCCCGTGTATTAGCTAAAAAATACGACACCGAACGACGCAGCTAGCTAGGGAAGGATGTGAGGGACCGCGCGATGGAGCGGCGTGTTGAATCCAATCGTGGCGCCGTGCGTGTATTTCGCGCGTGTGTTGGGTCAGACAAACAAATGCAACATACATATCAGCATTCTGCAAACAACCTCTAAGTGTACAATAAGAAGGTAATTTTATTTAATATTTACACAACATACTCAGGCAATCCGGGGGAATCTCCAGATTGCTACACAGCCCTCTCCCAGAAGGAACTGTGGAAACAGCCCTTCGATCTACGTGAGGACTATCCGTCGCGGGCCAGCCTTCTGCGAGACCAGGTGATGAAACCTGATGCAGCTGCTGGGGGAGAACCAGACGATCGGATCCTAGCGTGCTCCCACCCGTGTCCTCCCTAACGGTGTCGAAACGGAAAAAAATGTTTGCAAAAACGGTTCGTAAGAAGTAGTTCGACGGGAAATGTTCAATGTACAAGTTGAGGCTTCCGACTCCAACGTGAACGTGTGACCGACTTGACAGACGTACATGTAAAGCAAACGGAAACGACAGTGATGGTAGTGCATAGCAATAACAAGCGATAACCTAAAATAAGCAGAAGATAATTTTTGGGGGTTTTCAAAACCTTTAATCTTTTTTGTGGTGGTTTCAAAATATTTTACCCTTTTTGTTATTTTCAAAAATTGTAAAGGGGATCTAAGCAGTAGAATGCACCGTATGGACAAAACGACGAGGACAATGTACCTGTCGGCCAGACCTAGTCATTCTTGGTGCATTGGAGGATGTTGGAGGCTTTTCAGCGAACGTCGCTGAACTGTTAGGGCTATGCGTTGCTGGTGGTGGAACAGGCGTATTTATAGAGGCATTGCCATTGTGTATATGGGCGACTTTTAAGCGATTAATAGATACTGCTTCA